GAGAGAGAGAGAGAGAGAGAGAGAGAGAGAGAGAGAGCACGTAGCACACGGCTCCAAAAACGTTCCACCAATCCGTAGCACCAAGTCATGTAGCACGAAGCACATAGCACCATAGTGCAAGGCACCAATCCACATTGTGGGCGGGAGAGAGAGAGAGCACCAATCTATGCTGCACCAATCACGTGGCACGTAGCCAGTAGCACGTAGCAAGTTCTCGTCGCACTAACTCAAGTAGCGTGAACCATGTAGCACCAAGCACGAATCAACTAGCGCCAAAGCGTGAAGCACGGAGAAGGACCGGTTCACCTACCACAGAGAGAGAGAGAGAGGAGAGAGAGAGAGAGAGCACCAATCTACGCTGTGGGGGGGAGAGAGATAGAGAGAGCACCAATCTACGCTGCACCAAGCACGGAGCACAAACCACGTGGCACGTAGCCAGTAGCACCTAGCAAGTTGTCGTCGCACTAAAAAGTAGCGCGAACCACGTAGCACCAAGCACAAATCACATAGCACCAAAGCGCGAAGCACGGAGAAGCACCGGTTCACCTACCACAGAGCTCGAGAGGGGAGAGAGCGAGCACCAATCTACGCTGTGTGTGGGGGAGAGAGAGAGAGAGAGCACCAATCTAAGCTGCACCAATCACGGAGCACAAACCACGTAGCACGTATCAAGTTGTCGTCGCACTAACTCAATTAGCGCGAACCACGTAGCACCAAGCATGAATCACGTAGCACCAAAGCGCGAAGCACGGAGAAGCACCGGTTCACCTACCACAGATAGAGAGAGAGGAGAGAGAGAGAGAGAGCACCAATCTACGCTGTGGGGGGGAGAGAGAGAGAGAGCACCAATCACGGAGCACGTAGCCTCTCTCTCTCTCTCTCTCTCTCTCTCTCTCTCTCTCTCTCTCTCTCTCTCTCTCTCTCTCGCTCGCTCGCTCTTGCGCGCGCGCACACACACACGCATGCATGTTTTTTTTTTGTTTTTTTTTTAAGGGTCTCGATGGACCATGGATCAAATTTGAAATTGATTGGAGCAGATACTACACTTGATCGTGAGGGGGGGAAGAGTTGAGGGGTAGTTAGTTAGATTGGGGTGTATCTCTCTCACGCGTGCACGCTCGCAGCGTGCATTTTTTTTAAATTTTATATAAGGGTCTCGATGGACCACGGATCGGATTTGAAACTGATCGGAGCACACACCACACTTCATCGGATTTCAAACTGATCGGGGCAGATACCACACTTCATTGTGTGTGTGGAGGGGCGGGTGGCGCATAGCTAGTTAGACTCTCTCTCTCTCTCTCTCTCTCTCTCTCTCTCTCTCTCTCTCTCTCTCTCTCTCTCTCTCTCTCTCTCTCTCTCTCTC